GTAGTGGTAATAGTAGTTGTATTAGCAGCAGCCGTAGTAGTAGTAGTAGTAGTAGTAGTCGTCGTCGTCGTAGTAGTCGTAGTAGCCGTGGTAGTCGCATGTGTAGTAGTCGTAGTAGGTGTAGTAATAGTGGTATTAGTAGTAGTAGAACAGCAGTAGCAGTAGTAGTAGTAGTAGTAGTTGTGCTCGTCGTAGTAGTAGTCGTGGTCGCATTATTAATAGCCGCAGTAGTAGCATCAGTCGTTGTCGTATCAGTAGTACTAGTAGTACGAGTCGTCGCCGTCGTAGTAGTAGTCGTAGTAGTAGTCGTAACAGTCGTAGTTGTAGTAGTCGTGCTAGTAGTAGTCGTTGTAGTAGTAGCAGAAGTAGTAATAGTAGCACTCGCAATCGTAATCGTAGTAGTAGTAATGATAGTCGTAGTAGTTTTCGTAGTCGTAGTCGTAGTAATCGTGGTAGTAGTAGTAGTAGTAGTAGTAGTAGTAGCAGTAGTGGTAGCAGTAGTAGTAGTTGTAGCAGTGGTAATCGTAGTAGTCGTAGTAGTAGTAGTAGTAGTAGTAGTAGTAGTAGTAGTAGTAGTAGTTGTAGTAGAAGTAGTAGTAGTAGTAGTAGTAGTAGTAGTAGTAGTAGTAGTAGCAGTAACGTAGTAGTAGTAGTAGTAGTAGTAGTAGTAATAGTCGTGGTAATAATTCTGGTGGTAACAGTAGTCGTCGTAGTAGTAGCAGTAGCAATCGTAATAGTAGTCGTAGCCGAAGTAGTAGTAGTAGTAGTAGTAGTAGTAGTAGTAGCAGTAGTGACAGCAGTAGTGGTTTTCGTAGTAGCAGCAGCAGTAGTAGTAGTAGTAGTAGTAGTAGTAGTAGTAGTAGTAGTAGTCGTAGTTTCGTTAGTAGTAGTAGTAGTTGTAGCCGTCGTGCCGTAGTTAGTGTAGCAGTAGTAGTAGTTGTTGTTAGTTGTTGGTAGTAGTAGTAGTAGTGAGTTGCCAGTCGTAGCCGTGTAGTAGTGTAGTAGCAGCGCTGCGGAAGTAGTAGTAGTAGTCGTAGTAGTAGTAGTACGTAGTAGTAAGTAGTTAGTAGTAGTAGTTGGTGCAGTTCGTGGTAGTCGTAGTCGTGGTAGTAGTAGTCGTAGTAGTAGTAGTTAGCGCAGTAAGTATAGTAGGTAGTGGTGTAGTCGTAGTAGTCGTCGTAGTAGCAGTCAGTAGTAGTTATAGTAGTGTAGTAGTCTTAGCAGTTAGTAGTTGTAGTCGTAGTAGTCGTAGTAGTCATAGTAGTCGCAGTAGTAGTCGCAGTCGTCGTAGTAGTAGTAGTAGTAGTAGTAGTAGTAGTAGTAGTGCAGTAGTCTTAGTAGTAGTAGTAGCCGTAGTAGTAGTAGTAGTAGTAGTAGTAGTAGTAGTAGTAGTAGTAGTAGTAGTAGTCGTAGTAGTAGTAGTGGCAGTAGTCGTAGTAGTGGTACTAGTAGTAGTAGTGGTAGTCGAGGAGGATGCCGTAGTAGCAGTAGTCGTGGTAGTAGTAGCCGTCGTCGGTGTAGCCGTAGTAGCCGCATTAGTCGCAGTAGTCGTAGTAGTAATAGTCGTGGTCGTAGCCGCAGTGGTATGAGCAGTAGTGGCAGACGTAGTAGTAGTACTAGTCGTAGTAGTAGTAGGAGCAGTAGTAGTGCTAGTAGTAGTGGTCGTCGTAGTAGAGTAGTTGTAGCCGTGGCAGTCGTAGTACAAGTCGTAGTAGACGTGGTAGTAGTAGTAGTAGTAGTAGTAGTAGTAGTAGTAGTCGTAGTCGTATTAGTATTAGTAGTAGTAGTCGTAGTCGTAGTAGTAGTAGTAGTAGTAGTAGTAGTAGTAGTAGTAGTAGTTGTAGTAGTAGTAGTAGTAGTAGTAGTAGTGGTAATAGTGGCAGCAGTAGTAGTAGTAGTAGTAGTAGTAGTAGTAGTGGTTGTTTGTAGTAGTTGTCGTAGTGGTAGTAGTAGTAGTAGTAGTAGTAGTAGTAGTAGTAGTAGTGGCAGCCGTAGTCGTGTTAGTCGTAGTGGTATTAGTGGTAGGAGTAGTAGTAGCCGCAGTAGTCGTAGCAGTAGACGTAGTAGAAGTAGTAGTAGTAGTAGTAGTAGTAGTAGCAGCAGTGGTAGTAGTAGTAGTAGTAGTAGTAGAGATACTAGTATCGGTTGTCCTCGTAGTAGCAGCCGTAGTAGTAGTAGCCGTCGTCGTCGTAGCAGTAGCCGTAGTAGTCGTAGTAGTAGTAGTAGTAGTAGTAGTAGCAGTAGTAGTAGTAGTAGTAGTAGTAGTAGTAGCAGTAGTCGTAATATTAGTAGCAGCCGTCGTAGTAGCATTAGTAGTAGTCGTAGTAGTAGCCGTAGCAGTCGTAGTAGTCATAATCGTAATCGTAGCCGCAGTCGTAGTAGTAGTAGTAGTGGTAGTAGTAGTAGTAGAGGTAGTAGTAGTAGGAGTGGTAGTTGTTGTTGTAGTTGTAGTAGTAGAAGTAGCAGTGATCGTAGTAGTAGTAGTAGTAGTAGTAGTAGT